CTGACACCACAGTTGGTAACAGGTATTGATGATGGAATATTTTGCTATTAAAAAAGAATGGAGTTTCAGCAAAATGAGTATTTTGAAATAATATCTGTTTGAAGAACATTTTTCTAAAATAAAATTGAACATTTTATTGCAAGAGAGTTGAAAATAACAATTTCACAAGTTGTTTGAATCAATATTTCTTATGTTATTTAAATAGTTTGTAAGTTTTAAAATACTAAAAGTTAAAATATAAATATTATAAACAAATGGCACCAGCCAAAGCAGTTCCATCAGCATGACCATATAAAATTTTCAAATGTTATCCAGTTTTGAGATTTGTGAATTCCCTATGAAAATTCCAGACTATATTAATACAAATAATTTAACATAGGTGGAACAGAGGATTTTCCTACCAAACTGAAAATTTCAGTACACTTTATCAAATTAAAAAGTAACACAATCATGTAGTATAAACTATACTGGTAAAATTATACATCTGATTGTTAACATGGGCTTTAAACTACAGCATACTAACATGATGCAACATGAAAACAAAACTTATGTTTAATATTCTTGCTGATACAAAAAGCTTTTATTGTTGTTGTTCTAACACTGAATGAAGAGGGAATAATTTTTGCAACTACATTTATTCTTAAATCTTTAACGAGAAATACCAAAAAAAAACCAGCAAGGATAGAACAAGGATACAATGTATAGCATAGTATAACGAATTCAGCTGAATTACATTTGTTTTTCTTTAAAGTGTCTTTGTTCCTTCTCCTATTTTTTTTTCAAACAAAAATAAAGGAAAAAAGAGAGAGAAAATTAAAGATAATAAAAGATTTTTTTTTCTTGAGTTGCTCCCATGACCTTGTTTACATTCACAATGCAGTTGAAACAACAACTAAGGGCAGAGTGGGCAGCGGGAGCTGCTTTGGCTGTCTTTGCTCACAACCCAAATAGCACAGTGGCACTGTGGTTTCAAGCTAGCTTAAAGAGGAGAGTTTTTCTTATCTGATCACAAGTCTGCCTTCCCCTTTGTACCTCAAAAACTATTATCTATAACAATAAGCTGGGACAAACGTTCACAGTCTAATGCATGATGGTATAAATATTTTATTGTCTGATTTAAGATACTCAGACCCATGTAATCAAAGACTTTTTGTTCATGTATCACTCTGGGGGAAGGCCACAAAATATTCTGACCCCTCTCCTTACCCCCTCAACAATTCCCAATGGAAGTCTCTCAAAGGCACTTTATTTTAAAATAACATGTTTGTGAAATACTGTTTATTTCTATTAACCACAGCTTTAATAAGCCTATCCTACCTTCCTGTGTGTTACTAACAGGGACAAAGAAAGTTTAGAAATGCATTGTGAATCGTAACATTGCAAAGGAAGAAAAATAAATACAGACACTTTACTTTTCACTAATCTATATTATTACTACAAATTCTGTGACTGTTAAATATAACATGTCACTATAATCTATTATTTCATACCAAACATTATTTGCATATTTTAATTTCTCCATTTGTAACCATTATGCTCATTATTCACTTTTATTTGAAGTGTAATTCATTTAAAGGTCTAAAGCCTGGATAAGAATCTTCTTTAAATTTAGGTATACTTGAGTTTTATAAAACACTTAAAAACAAAATCATCATTTTATTATCTTCTGGAGATTAATCCAGAAAGCATCCAAAGAATCCACACACCTTACAGCAGAAAGCATCATTATTTTTTCTGAAACTACACTTCAGGAAATGGCATGGCAAGACAAGTAATTTTGACAGCCATTTCACAAACAGTTGGCATTTTATTTTTTCTCATGGTGCTAAATCCTGACAGCAATATTAGTCAGTAGTATTGGCTGCACTCACAAAGAAACATAGGTCTGCAACTTCCTAAGTCTAAATTAAGATAACTAAATGCAAACTGTCTATCTTCTGAGCTCCAACTCAACAACTGCTAAACCAGGGAGGCACAAAGACTCCCCACACAACTATTTCTATCAGTAAAAAAATCACACAGACTCAATAGTTACTACAATCAGACAACTACCCGAGGCTTGGCAATGTTGAGTTCTTCTAGAGAAGAGGGAGCAAAACACATG